AACGATCCACTCCCGAAACTCGTCATCATCGACGATCTCATGAGGGAATCGTCCAATAACACGGTGGTCGATCTTTTTACCAAAGGCAGCCATCATAAGAATATTAGCGTTATCTTTATCACGCAGAACCTCTTTCATCAGGGGCCAGGACAGCGCGATATCTCGTTGAACGCCAACTACATCGTTGTATTTAAAAATCCGCGCGACAGAGCGCAGATACAGCATCTGGCCAAACAGGTGTTTCCTGAAAATCCGCGCTTCGTACAGGACGTCTACCGCGACGCCATGGCTCAATCGCATGGCTATCTACTACTCGATTTGAAGCAGTCGACCCCCGATAACTGCCGCTTTCGCACGTGCGTGTTTCCTTCGGACCCGTTCCACTACGTATACGTACCGCGAAAGAGTATAAAGGGCGGGTACACCGATCGAGACGTACCAGTCATTCGGTTGTAATGGTATTCGGCGCACGCTGCTCTATAGGGCGCAAACACGCCGCAGTATTAAAGGCTATTTGCCATCTGGATAGCCAACAGCGTAGCGCTTTGTTACGAGTGGCTGACTCACGACTCGTCAACTGTATATGCGAATGTGCTCTGAATATTCTTCGCGGTAACGTGCCTCTCAAACCGACACAAGAACGTCGCTTACGAAAACACACATCGCTGTTGAGACGTTTATCCAGACCGGGTTCAGTAGTCAAAACTAGAAAACGTCTTATCGTTCAGAGCTGTGATTTTTTACCTCTTCTGCTAGCACCCATACTGGGCACCGTCATATCGAAACTCATAGGGGGAAGTGGATAGGGGTATACGCCGCGAAGAGAGAGAGACAGATCGAAATGGAGCATGCCAAGAAGATGGTTCTCATCCCTCAGGAGAGCGTGGAGCAGCAGCACTACCGGTCAATGCCTCATACACCCCACCAACACCACCAGCAGCAGGAGCAGGGTGTCGACACCGTAAACATCGTGCAGACCCCCGGGACCCCCTTAAGCACATTAGACGCATCCATGAAGGAGATACTACACTCACCGAATTTCATCGACGAGCGCGAAAAGTGGAAGATGTACAATTAGGTGCTGCAGCGTTATCTACACTTTATCGAGGATCTGCGAAATAACGTCGACGAGGATAGGCGAGGCGATAACGATGCCAAGAAAAAAAAATAACAATTTTCCGGAGGATAATGTCAAGAGCTTGACCGACGATGGCGACGACGACATCATCGTTAGCGTACCCCAAAAGTACAGAGCTAAGGCTAAGCACTTACTAGGAAGGCTGCGCAACGCTGGTTCGCCACGCATCTCGTGGAGTAAACAGGGCGTTACGCGTATCGGTGAAGCCGTCATGCAGGACGCCAACATCGTGGATTTAATCAACGACGCTATGCGCGAGAGAAAAACAGCGAGACCGGCGGGGAGTCGGCAGTTTGCGCGGTTCCTCCGTACTACCGGTATACCGCCCGAATATATCGGTAATCAGCGTCTATAGAGGGTGGATGCTCTGGTTGCAATACAGATTCCTATGACCTTTCTTCACGTGCCGGCAGCGCTAAAAG